AGCAGGCAATGCCTGTGAGCCCAAGGGACTAACACCACAAGCAAAAATCCTTCCCTCCAAAGCGAATGACACTTTCAGCAGTTGCCTTTTAGAGCTGGTGAATTCCTTTGCTTTCGTTGCTCTGTACTCCGTCAAATCTAGCACTGTTTGCCCTGCAAAGCTGCGAGGTGTGATCCAGAAACAACAGCTACCTACTTGGGAGGAGGCTATGGAAAACCAGAAGAAGGAATAACAGGCTTGGAAGCTGTTCCCTGTGTGGAGCCCTGGAGGCAGATATTAGCTGGGTTAACATGTGGATCCCTTCTTCCTTGCAAATAGACCCATCATCACCTAAGGGGCAAAGGGAAATGTCTACTGCATCTAATCCCAACGAGGCTAGATGAGATCCAGGGGCAGATGAGGAGCTCCTGGAGGGGGAGGGAGGTTTGCAGACCTGCCAAGAGGGTAAAACAGGGCTGGCAGAAAAGGCAGCAAATGCATCACAGAACCTACCTGTGGATTCTTCACTACCACTTAAACCAGAGCTCATCCCTTCGACAAGGGACGCTAAGTCTTTGACAGTGCTCCCTTCTGCTAGCATTAAACAACTACTGCCCGTGAATTGAAACGTGTCCATTAGAGCTCCAGCAGAAGAGCATTCCCCAGAGGAATGCACAGAGGGAGAGAGCAAGGGCAGCCCAGCCTGCCCAGCAGACCTGGCCCCCTTCACACTGCAGGAGTTTCAGCAGCTCCTGGGATCTTACTGCAAGAGCCAGTGTGTGCTCCTTAAAGCAACCCTGGAGTTTCATCTCCAACCCATCAAAACATGCCAGTCTCTAAAAGAAACATTCAGGCCTCCTGGGGGTGGAAAAAGGCTGCAGAAATGGCCTGGTTGGATACGAGGAGGAGTTCAAGGAGCCACAACAGTAGGGATGGAGCATCCCAGCATCTCTCTTGTGGCTCCATCCTTCCCTGAAGTGTAGGATTAAGAGGCCAGCAAGGTTGAAGACATTAGGCATTGCCGTGAGTCTGTGTGTTCAGGTCACAGGAAACATGAAAGCTCCTGTAAGCATTGAAATAACCCTTATCTGCTGCCTGCTTGACCGACTACCAGGGTAGCTTTGTACCCCTCGTGCCCTTCCCTACCCCTGCAGTGATTTTCTGGTACTAACACACACAGTATTCCCAAACCGACGGGTGACGGAGCAGCTCCAAAAAGCCAGCAATGCCGTCTGTGGGGAAACTGAGGCACGGCCAGTGAATCACTGCACGGAGGGGAGGATGCAGCAATCCAGCCTCCGCATCCTCAGCATCGCGCCCGCTCTTCCTCCGTGGAATTGATGTGCTTCTGCCGTGCACTAAGTGATTAGTCTGTGGCTTTGCTGAGTGTAAAGTTATGGAGCGAGAGATCCAATCACAGGCACAACTCCAGTTGTGCTACAGGCCTATTTGAAAGGGTAAGTGTTCTGCAGTTTTTTTCATGCCTGCAACAATCTAGACAAATAGGCTTTTAAATTAAGCAGTGATTTGGAATATAAGTGAGTGCATTTAAGCTGCTAAGAGATGGAAAGATCCTAATGGCTGAAATATTTGTCATATCACAAATAAACTGGCTGTATCGGGAGCTACTAATATAACTAATTTTTACCAAATCCTTCTCTGCTCTGTGCTAGAAAATGAGGTCAGCACAGGTTGAGGCAACATAAAATGAGCAGCTGCCAGAAGGCAGCACAGAATACTGATAACGGACTCTGCAGAAACTCCATCGCCTGCCCATGGACGAAAGGAATCAGTTTGTTCGAATTAAGATACAGCTTTTCCAGGGCATCCAGGGTTTTAATGAAAAGGTGCCAATGACTAGAGGCTTTCAATGGAGCTGGAATACAAATGCATGCCGAGATACTTCCTCCCCCTCCCTCCCTAGGCTGGGGCTCATCCGGTTTTATCCACATATCAATCGTGAGGTCTGGGTGATGTTTGAAAGGTACCGGGGTGTGAGAAAGGGCAGGAGGGGGTCCTGGGGCAGCTGATGAGAGTCCCGCAGTTCCTTTGGTTCCTATGGGTCTTGAACCCTGACTTCATCTGCTGCTCGCAAGGAGGAAAGGTGACATGAAGAGGAATTTGGGAAGAGCCAGGAACAGCCATTGCACCTCTAAAGGCTCAGGAGCCAAGAGCAACCCCCCCTCAAAGCCCACCTCATTTCTACCATGCCCCTGCGCTATCCTGTAACACAAGATGCTCTAAGCTGCCATGTCGAGGATAACATACCCAGGGAAGAGAGGCAAATGCTCTGTGTCAGAAGATGCAGCAACAGACTGTGTTTTGCCTATCACGCTTTTAAGTGTGCCTCAAACATTTGGGACCAAGTGGGATGCAGTCATACTGTGGCTGTGTGAGAAAAAACGTCATTATTCTCATTCTCTTAAAAACCCATCAAGAACACTTTGGAAGAGGAATTTCCTGCCTCCTTTACAGGCATTAACAGCCTGACTTTGAATAAGCGGAGGATTTTGGTCGTAGTAACTGGTTCTTTTAATCCCTAAACCCCAAACTGATCAAATGGGAAACTGAGGCACAAAAGGTCAGCTATAAACTGAGTGCCTTCTCCACCATGGCAGTCTGGGAGTGACTCCACCATAGCAAAAACAGCTCAGAAAGGGAACCAGGCATCCAGTTACCATTTGGGATGACCCGTTAAGGCAGATTCACTCACATACAAACCCATCTACTTGTGCCACGAGAGAGCGGCTCTCCCGGGATCAATACACAAGAGAGCTTAGGCACGGGAGCAGCGACCACTTGGGAGCATCAGCCAATTTAAGGAAAATAAGATCAACATGGATTAGCAATCAAACTTAAAGCTTGCTACATTTCCTAAATGGAATGGTACAAGGGTTCATATTTGATAACCATTAAATGGTTTAATGAAACAATTATAACCCAGACTCCTGAGCCCGGCCATAATCAATAACTATGAGCTCTAAGCAACAGCATGATCCAAGTTCTGCCATTTTCACAGTGCTCCCCAGCAGGCAGAGTGCGGGACTATAAATGCAATTGACAGTAAAGTTGCATTAAAACATCCCCATCAAGGGCAATAATAGATTAAAGGCTACTGAGGCGCTGCAGTTGGCTGGTCAATATGCTTTATTTTCTGCATCACCCCCAATTTTGCCACCCTCCTGTATACTATTAGCGGGAGTCGATTTGCTGTCAATGAGCAGCCCTGGCAAAAGATGCATTAATGCACGCTCACAAAAGCAGTGGGCATGGCATTATCACTTCACTCACTTTCAAATTACAGCCTAATGCTGTCTCCAGGCAGCTTGTGACACGTTAACACTATGTGCGGTTTGCTGGTATCGGGCTAAATATTTCATGTCTAAAGATTTCAGCAGAGATTTGATGACAGAAATAAACTACCGCCCAGTGGGAAATCATTCCCAACAATAGGATTTGGCATTGCTGAAACATCAACAGAAAAGGGATGATGATGATGATGATGATGTGGGATAGTGGAAGAAAAGCAGAAGGAGCATGAGGAGGGCTGAGCAAAGGGCTGCTGAGGACCCATTTGCTGCTAACTAAAAGCAGTGTTACTAATCAATCCAGAAGTGATTGGATGTAACCAGGCTTAGGTGCTGTTGCTGCTTCTAAATGGCAAAGAATTCCCCATGATACATGAAACACAGGCAGATACGGCCAAAGGTTTGCCCCATCTTCTGCCAAAGCTCATAAACCAGTCTGTACCACATCTGCCTGTGCATCTCCCTACCACAGGTTGTATTACCCTTTAGAGCTAGTGGAAACAGCCTTGAAGGCATTGCTGATCTGAGGTTGAGGGCCTGGCTGCCTTGCTGCTGCTAGTGAAAGCCTTTATTGGGTGCACAGCTCAAAGGCAGCAAACCTATTAATCCTTCCTTTCTCAAGGCCCCAGGACCTCTGCATTGACTGCCTCCTCCAGCAAGCGCTCCTGTCTTTCAGCCTGAAAAAAGCAGCCACAAAGTCAATCGTGTGATGAAAAAACAGGCACTTGACCAGAGAGAGGAGACAAGCACCGAGGCTCAGTGTGAGCAGGCTGTGTGCTCGCCTGGGTTACCCGCATTTGGCCTTTACAGCAAGCCCTATAAATCACAGCCTTGATTCATGTCCTTGCCTTACAACCAGCTGTTGATACCCAGCACAGACCACCCAGCTCTTGCTTTTCCTGACGTCTATTTACTCTTTATTCGTGTGTGTGGGTCTCCAAGGATTGTTTGGGAGAGTTAACAGCACCTTTGCACTTGTTGGGGTTAAGGAGTTCCCTCTTCTCCAAGGGAGGAAAGGCAAGCAGAGCTTGGTTAATGATCCTTAAGGCTATTGTGGATTATAACCCTGGGTTTACTTGCAAAACGTGAATGTTTAACCCCAACAAACTGTTCCTCAGTAGTGCTTTATTCTTCAATAAACTGTGAGAGCATCTTCGAAGCTCTTTCCCTTTGCATTCTGCAGTATGTGTAGGAAACAGAGTCTGACTCCAAGAGCACACACAGGTTGCCCTCCCTCAGTAGTAGTCACTGAGCACAGGACCAATCTCCTTCAAGCCCAAACTTAAGCTGCATACCTCCATGCCTGTGTTATCAAAACCTAAATGCATTCTGCATCTCTCTCACACACAAAGACACAGAGGAATTTGGTAATACTCCAAAGCAGGAGCTTTTACAGGGGCAAACCAGTAACATATTCCTTGCCTGTTCTATTAAACAGCCACAGCGCTCTTTACCTCTGAAAACAGACACCAGAACACATGAAAAAAGATCTAATTCTCCTTGATGAAGACACCCCAAAAGGAGTTAGCAGTGCCCAAGCAGGCTTCTGAGCTTGTAAACCAAAACCTTTAACTAATCCCTACCTTATGAACAGGCTGTGCAGTGCGTCTGTGTTACCTGCAAGGGCTCCTCCTTATCACATAAAAATCCTGCTGTTTCGGAAGAAAACAAGACCCTCAAGAGGTGCACAGAATAAAGGTGTATAGATGTTACCTGCATTTGTGTCTTTGCCTCTGTTCTTGCACCCAGGACAGCAGCATTACCAGCCCACAGCAGAGAATCATGAGAGCTACACAGCTGCTGGCCCATTTTATAATGGCTCTCATCAAGTCACCTAATCCCCATCTGTGTTAACTAATGAAAACTTGTAACAGAAAATCGCAAGTTTCCTTTACAAATCTTTTACAAAATATCCTCGTTTTCTAACAAATAAATGGGGGGAAAAAGTAATTCAAGCTATGTATGGAGTTAAATGCCATAAACATTTTGGGGGGATTTAATGCTCCTGGAAAGGGGCAACCAACAGAAGGTAGCCCTACGCCATTCGGTGATCAGGTGCTGCCATCCGGTGGCCTAACATTGCCAGCACCGCAGGCTCCACAGCCCCATCATTACCGTTGGAACACGCACCTGGCAACGCAGTGACAGCAAAGCAACTACACGATGCCCTAAGGGAAGGACCAGTCAAACAGCAGGGCTGGGCATCAGCCACCAGCAGCTGATGATGCTGTACCTGGAGGTGCCACAACACTCCAGTAAAACAGGGGAATATCCCACTGCAGGGGCGTGGGAAACGTTCATCTCTTTTCTCCAGGATATAGTGACAGGATCGATGAGAGCTTTAGGGCAGCACCAGGAAAGGTTCAGACTAGATACAAGGAAGCATTTCAAACCCTGGAACAGGCTTCCTCAAGAGGGGCTGATGGCCCACACCTGCCAATGCCCTTAATGATCACATCTAAGTCCTTTGCAGCTGAAATGTTCTATTATTCCAGTGATGATTCTTATGGCCTGCAGTCACGACTTAATGAACACTCCCACTCCAGTGCACAAGTCTTCAGTGGGAGCACTGATGCTGTGGCAAAGAGGCTGGAAAGTAAAAGGCACTTCGGCACAGAAGCTCCTGCAGTTTGCAGTGTCATTCTCCTACATATGTGAACACAGCCCTCCTTGCTGTAATGATATGCAAAGTATTTTAATACTCTCAACTGCTCCTGTCTGCATTTCAGCAGCCCTCTAAAGCCATCCAACCAGGGAAAATGCACTTTTGACACAGTAAGATGAGCACTAAGCTACCAGAGAATCATTTCTTCCCTTTGGTTAAGCACTGTTAATGAAAACAATGGTAAGTCCCTAAATTCATTAGTGCTGAATTTGCTCAGACTACTTCAACCTGAAATACAGGCACTGAATTGCTGATTGTTTTGAATCTAGAATGTACTAGGAACACAGAATATGCAATGTATTGTGTTGGGTATCATGGTCTAGACTCAGGACTATGGAAATTGCCACTCCACTGTGTGCTGGTATTATATAGAGCACAATACATGTACTAATTATACTGTAACTAATAAGCAACAGAATAGCTGCTTATTACCCCTCGAGGCTACCCAAAACCACATGCCAGCAGACTTCATTAAATGAAGAGCCACCTCTGCACTTGGCCCCCCTCAGGGGAGAAACCTCGAGCTGATGAATGATTCCAGGCCCAAAAGCCTATTAACCAGTCTGTAGTCCTGCACCTAACGTTAGGGAGAGTGTGGGTATTACAGATTGAGTAATTAGCTCTGCAAGGTCTCTGGAAAGGTGGCAGTTACCAATGCATTTAATGCAGGCTTGTTTGGGTGATGTCCTTTGTTACAGGAAAGGTGTTTCTGTGCAGTTGGTGGCTGTGTACTTCAAAGAATAAACGTGTTGCAAACTACTAAGCACCTTTCATTACAGGAGGAGCTATCTAGCAAAATCAGCTCTGCACTGGCAGTTACAATTACCTACCTTGAGATAGAGGGAAGGGGTTGAAAAGCTGCTGCAGCTCCAACGTTCTTTATTTACCATTAAGTGCATTTATTCTTTTCACACTGGTCAGGATGTACAAAAAGTGAGGAGAGAAACATTGTGATGCCCATTAAATAGTTTTTATTCTTTAGGACATGAATTGCATTTCCACTTGTTTACAGTAAAGTGCAATGATCTTCATCTCCGCTCCTGTGCACATGGTTCAAGTATTTAAAATGCCCAGAAAATTTTAACATCTTTTAAGTTTTTATTTTTTACAGCAGCTCAGTTATGGAGTTTTAGTCTGGCAAAATAAACCCAGATGTGACTACAGGTTTGGGTCCTTCAAGCTAACCCCCAACCTGGGGATTCCTCCAATACTAACTGCTAGTGGAATGCAGCTCCCAGCATCTTTAGTCTACCTCCTCAATGGTTGGTCCAGAAGAAGCTCCGCCAGATGGAGGAGCTCCACCACCAGGGAATCCACCAGGCATCCCACCAGGCATTCCTCCTGCACTCTGGTACAGCTTGGTGATGATGGGGTTGCAGACCTTCTCCAGCTCTTTCTGCTGGTGTTCAAACTCCTCCTTCTCAGCGGTCTACAGAAGAAGGACAAAAGCTCAGTATCTGTTGCTCACATTATTTGGATCCAGTCTGAAAGTTAACATCACTACCTGGCTTACACATTTGAAGAGACCCACTAACCTAGCCAACAAGAACATTTCTTGCTCTGTCTAGTGATTTACAACTCCCTCAGATCACTCCTGGAGCTTACGCTGCCCTTGCAGCAGGACCTCATTTAAAGTGAGATGAGTATAGACTTTAAAGCTACAGCTGTGCCTGTGTGAATGAGGAGGAATTGAAAGCTGCATGTTTGCAAGCTGCGGTCGCTCAGACATCCAAGGAAGGTACTTGGACCAACACAAGTCTTTCGACTTCTGGTGGAAACTACGAATGGCTTTGGAAACACTTTCATCACAGCAACCAGTTCTCCTCCAGCTTCCCAAGTTTTCTTGGTAGCCCAGTGGAAACACTGACCAAACATGGAATACAACATACCTGGTTCTTGTCCAGCCAGTTGATGATTTCATTGCATTTGTCCAGGATTTTCTGCTTGTCCTCATCAGAGATCTTGCCCTGGAGCTTCTCATCTTCAACAGTAGCTTTCATATTGAATGCGTAAGACTCCAGGGAGTTCTTAGAAGACACTTTGTCACGCTGTTTCTCATCTTCTGCTTTGTATTTCTCTGCTTCCTGAACCATGCGCTCGATGTCTTCCTTGCTCAGCCGGCCTGCACAACACAGAGACATTGGAGATCAGTTTTACAGTCAACCACTGCGAGTAAGAGATTGATTACAGCAGCTTCCCACCCTCAGAAACAGATGGATCCTTACCCTTGTCATTTGTGATCGTGATCTTGTTCTCCTTGCCAGTGCTCTTATCCACAGCAGACACGTTCAGGATGCCATTGGCATCAATATCAAAGGTTACTTCAATCTGAGGTACACCTCTGGGAGCAGGGGGAATACCAGTCAGCTCAAACTTGCCCAGCAAGTTGTTGTCCTTAGTCATGGCACGTTCTCCTTCGTATACCTACCAAGAAAAACCAGCAAATTAAGTTGCAAGTTTTAACCACACATCATCATGATACTGTGTTCTCATGACAATTTTATCCTGAAGTGACATGGTCGCTCAGACATCCAAGGAAGGTACTTGGACCAACACAAGTCTTTCGACTTCTGGTGGAAACTACGAATGGCTTTGGAATCACTTTCATCACAGCAACCAGGTTATTTACTGGCAAACAAACTGCAACACAACACCTCCAGCCCAAAATTTACCTTCTTGAGGCATTGACAAAGGCTTATAATTATGTGAGCATGTTACCAGTTCGCCCCAGTGTTGCTTGCCTACCTGGATCAGCACACCAGGCTGGTTGTCTGAATAAGTGGTGAATGTCTGAGTCTGCTTGGTGGGGATGGTGGTGTTCCGTTTGATCAGGACTGTCATGACACCTCCAGCCGTCTCAATACCAAGAGACAGGGGAGTCACATCCAACAGCAGCAGATCCTGGACATTCTCAGACTTGTCTCCAGACAGAATAGCAGCCTGAACAGCTGGGGGGAGAGAAAACAAGCCATTAAGAGACCCGCAACACATACACTGCCCACCCCAGTTAAGCCAATGGCTCGCTCAGACATCCAAGGAAGGTTTTGGCCATCATTAGTAGACTTCTGGTGGAAACTACGAATGGCTTTGGAACCTGATTCATCATTGCAAGTCAATGTAAGCTTCTTACTGCTTTGAAAAGCTTTCCTAATTCAGGAAGACCTATGGCCTATTCTGGTACTGCTGAGAGACTTTAGTTCAGGTAGTACCAAGCTTAACACCACCATCCAGCAGTTTCAGCACACAGATCATGATCATTTGTCATTACCTGCACCGTAAGCCACAGCTTCATCAGGGTTGATGCTCTTGTTCAGCTCTTTGCCATTGAAGAAATCCTGCAGCAGTTTCTGAATCTTTGGGATACGAGTAGAGCCACCAACCAGCACGATGTCATGGATCTGGGACTTGTCGAGCTTGGCATCCCGCAGAGCCTTCTCCACTGGATCCAGGGTGCCACGGAACAGGTCAGCGTTCAGCTCTTCAAAGCGAGCTCTGGTGATGGATGTGTAGAAGTCAATGCCCTCATAGAGAGAGTCTATTTCAATACTGGCCTGCGTGCTAGAGGACAGAGTACGCTTGGCACGCTCGCACGCGGTGCGGAGGCGACGAACTGCGCGCTTGTTCTCACTGATGTCCTTCTTGTGCTTGCGCTTGAACTCGGCAATGAAGTGGTTCACCATGCGGTTGTCAAAGTCTTCTCCACCCAAGTGGGTGTCACCTGCAGTGGATTTCACCTCGAAGATACCATCTTCAATAGTCAGAATGGACACATCAAAGGTGCCACCTCCAAGGTCGAAGATGAGAACATTCCTTTCAGCACCAACCTGGAAAGAGATCAATTTTCACAATGCAATTCCATTTTCTACCACTAGCTTAGCAAGTTTGCTAGTACATCATAAACAGTCATTGCACTACTACGATACCTTCTTGTCCAGACCATAGGCTATTGCAGCAGCTGTTGGCTCATTGATAATTCGCAGGACATTGAGCCCTGCAATGGTTCCAGCATCTTTTGTAGCCTGACGCTGAGAGTCGTTGAAATAGGCTGGGACAGTCACTACAGCATTGGTGACAGTCTATAAAAGAAGCAAGCAAAGAAGTTATGTAGCTTTACCAC